CTTGGCAGATTTTGGAGTAGAAACTGCAGATTAAGTTGGGAGCGTATGATCATTAGGTATCTCGTCTAGCGTGCTTTTCCTTGTAGCTCTCACTCCCGCTGGGGTGTTTGAAGTCACCACATGCTCCATACGATCATCAGCCAAAGACTATCTGCCCAACACAGCGGGACCTCATCCTACTGGGAAATCATGCTGCTCTACCGAGGGGTCATGCCTAGGTAGGCACCCTAAGCGACACTGACATTGAGCATACTCCATAACCTGAACCCGAATGGTACTTTCCGTTTCTTTTTTCCTGTGAACAGCCCTAAACCAACCATGATAAGTCGTAAACCTTCAGCCAGACATGGTGGTGTCCATGATGTTTTTCCATTCTAAACCCTAAGTCCAGAACTCACAATCTGAATCCCGGGTTCGGCCAAGGCAGCTGCCGTCGCAGTCGCAGTCTGCCTGTCCGGCTGCAGTGGTGGGCAAAAGGACCCGGTGAAGGGTTTAGGTTTCAGAGTTTGGGCTTGAAAGTACCATATACTATACTATACTATACTATACTATAATAGTAGTTTCCATGTTCTTTCCCAGTCCTATTGGGTAGTAACCCCTATGTAACGTTTGGCGTGCAGGTCTTAGGCTTAGGTGGGTCTCAGGGTCTAGCTGTTAAGATTTGGGAGTGGGGACAACATTCCAAAGCCTGGCGTGTAGAGTTGATTTTGCATGCTTCACCGAGGGGGGTACTGGGACGGCATCTTTCCTTTGGGGCTACCTGGCGGTGGATGTATGGTTGTCTACAAGAAACCTGGAACCGAAAACTGGACGGTTGGTTGGAACGAATCTCTTGCGTCTTTTGATTGCTCATTCATATGTAGGTTTGGTTAAGCAATCTGTCCTTAACGGACTTCGGGTGTTCAGTGTGCCTTCGTGGTGATGAGGCAGCAATGGAGACTGCCTACGTGGGTGTTTTTGGGACCCTTTCTACCCTTTGGTCAGCTTTTCTTTGGGCAAGGTACGTAGCGCGGCAACTATTCCAAATCTGAAGAATCAATGCAGCAGCATATTTTGAGTTCTTGCAGTTGTGCCCCCATCCGAATTTATACAGGATCATCTGTTGAAGGAACATGAAGTCAGCGCTGCACAGACTTCCGAGCTTGAAGATTACTCTCTTTGCAAAGCACTGTGAATACTGTGATCGTTAGCACTGTTGCTTATCATGCTCTGCTGCAGCTGTTTTTGCGTAGAAGCAATCCTGTAAAAAGGTCAGTACTCGGGATCCTTACAAAAACATTCATGCAGGGACTTCACGTAGAGCCACATGTCCTCGGTCAACAGCATCATTCTTCTCATTGAGATGGCAGTTACACAACTACCTTTGAAGAATCCATATATGGATCCCAAAATCACTGTGTAACCCCCTTATATCACAGCGGTCGTAGTGTCATCTATTTTTGAGAACTTCCTCACACTCTAAACTCCAATTCCTAATCCATACATACCCAGAAACCCTTGTTAAAAGTACCTAGGGGCCCGCATATTTTGAGAAATCCACAAGACAAAAGTTGCATCTTCGCCATGCCCCATGGCGCTGCTACCAGCTTCTACATCGACTGCAGCCCTGCGTCTAGGGGCTTTCCAGTTCCTGAGCTGGGATGATAGGTAGTTTAGATAAATGAGGCTCTACGATAGACCCCTGTAGTTTGAAGTATCTTCCTTGTTAGAGGCGCTCCTAAAAGGGGCCCCCTAATTTGTTGAGGACCCCCCGGCAAGCTTCAGACACTTGGTACTATAGGGTTAGGGCTTGGGAAGTAGAATTTCGGGCGTGGGGATAAGGATCCAGGATTGAGGCGGTTGAAGGTTGAGGGAGGGGTGGTGGTCACGGGTCCTCGTCTTGGTAACATTACGCATCTTGACGACCATAAAACTACCGGTGGCCCCTGCACCTTGCTAACATGAACTTCATGAACCTCATGAACCCCTACTTCACGCGCCCTTGTGTGAAAAGGGTAGAACACTTGCTGTACAGCCCCGGCTAGATAGATGTCGAGGGCTTCTGACTTTGGGATCTTTGGGCCTCGGGTGTGTGGCCACCGTGGTGTACAGAAGCACGATGCTTTCTGACGGATCCGCACCTCGATCAATTCTTTCGTTGCCATTTCGTCTGTATTTTGTCGGGTTCACGTCGCCTGCCAGCAGTGTCATTAGAAGTCAGGATGAACATACTTGCATATGGTGCACGGTGCAGGTCTCCCAGTCCCGTGCCCTGTTGGGGCGTCCGGTTAGAGTAGGGGCTTCTAGTGCAGCAGATGCTTTTCCCAGCTTATTCTTCATAAAGATCCACCGAGATGCCCAGTTTTTTGCAGAGTTCACATTTTCGTGGATCCTACGCCCAAAAGCTGAACCCTAACCATCCGCCCGCCCTCCCCCCACCAAAACAAATACAAAGGGAGCTTTCAGGTTTACGAGGAGGGGGTCCCTAGCTGGGCGCCGCCTGCCAAATGCCCGCTGAGCCAGCTTCCAAGCATTGCTGATGGAGGCTTGGGGCACTGGGTGTGGGATGAGAGTTGGCTTATTGCTTTCGATGTACGAGTTTTTTTTAAGGTGAGGGTTTTGCCCGTGAGCGTTTTTGGAAGCTTGATCGCGTGGGCTGTGACGGTTCAGGGTTGAATTTGGGCCTGTAACTTTTCGTTCCTGCGGTTAAGGGTTTGGGGCATGAGGGGGTTTTGGTGTTTGGGAGGGAGGGGGGGCGGGCGCTGGTGAGGGTTGAGCGTTTACAGGATTTAGGGCGTTTGCCCGGGATTCAGGATTTGGGGTGTGAGAGTTTGAGTTTAGGACGTGAGAGTTGTTGCAACTTTTGGGGCTTAGTGTTTGGGGTTTGGGAGTTTTCTTTGGGCTTGGGATATGTGAGTGCTTGGCATTGTTTGGGCTTTGGGACGTGAGACTCTTTGCTCATTTCTGTGCATAGCTGTCCCCCCGAAACAAATTTACCTCCGAACCAAATTCCTGAAATCCTTGTTGTACGGGCCCCGAGTGGCCTAGCGAGTTCGGATCGTGCATTCCGGCCAAATCCGAAACATGTAGTCCCTCTTTGCAACTGTGCCATGCGTGGCGGGTCGCTGCTATCAAAACTTGAGAGGGCAAGAGCGATGTTTTGATTGTTCGTTAGTTTCTGAAGGATATCGGGGCCCGAAACTGGCCCAATTCCAAACCCTAAGCCACAATTTCTGAATTTTAGCTACCCTAGCTATATCTGTCACTGCTACTAATATTCGCGGATTGGCTCTTTGCAGTGGCAGTGATTCTATCCAATTGCCTTTAGGATAGCCCCCAGTTTGAGGCAATCCCGAAAGGCCCTACTGGTATGGACCTAAATCACTACCAAGCACATGTTGAGGTTTATTAAGCAGGAATCCAGGACCATGATATGACTTCTTGTTTAGGCCCCTATGGTACAGGCTACAGTTTACTCGGGTTTGCTTACAGGCGGGTACAAGAGGGCCAAATGCATCTGTGGTTCCTGCAACTCCGATTACAGCTGCCCCTGAACCCTGATGTGGTGGTTTCCACAAAGGGCCCCCCTTTACGTGTCCCGAACACCGCAACCCCCCCAAAAGGGCCCCCAAATACATGGAAATCCCCATGTAGGTCCTATACCATCAGCCTTAATCCTAAACCCAGTCCTGTGGGTCTGCCTCTTTTGTGTGCGCGAGGCGCAGCAAAGAACTGCCGCCCGCATCAGGACACCATTTTCATAGGATCCTATACCACCTCCACCTGAAAAACGGCTATCTATTAGGAGGAACCCCCCACCCTGTGATAGTGGTATAATAGAAATATAAGAGACCCTAATATAATCCTCAGTTTCCCTTGCAGTCACTATTACTAGGTGGGCGGTCCACTCAAGTTATCAAGGGCTTAGTTGAGGGTGGTATAGCAATACGCGCCGCTGTAGGTTGGCATTCATGGAGCGTTGGCTGCGCTTGGGATTCATAGAAACTGCTTGGGGTTCATGGAAATCCCAGCTGTTGATGGACAAAGTCATGCGGTTTCTCTTTCACCTGAAACCATAAGGCCTGCAGCATTTTCTGGGTCAGGGTCAAAGGAGGATGTAATATGAACTGGAAATAGTTGCACACCGTTGGCAGCCCTTAAGCTTGGTTCTGCAGTTGAATGCTAGCTGTGATGCTAGCCTAAGAACCCCAGCTCGTTGGCAGTTGCAAGTTGGGCTTAGGTACACTAACTGAGGTTTTCCTTGACCCTAAACTTAACGACTCCCCATGAGCCCCTACCACTGACCATGGCCTGTTCTCCTGAACCGTGCAAGTACGATGGTCCATGCCTCCTTTAAAGCATAGGAACCATAGGAATGCCAGTTTTGAAGGTTTCGAGTTGCAGGGTCTTAGGCATTTTCGGTTAAAGCTGTTAAGGTTTTGTTGATGTAGGGGTAGGGGGGTTTTGGAGGGTTGGGCTTCCAGGGTCTCGGGATTTGGTACTTTTGTGAGTAAATCAACTTGGTTTCGTGCAAGGGCCGCAAGTTGAAACAGCCAAGAAGCAGCCAACAGGCTGTCGAAATCTCAGGATGAGCAGCTAGAGCTATACTAGTCACAGTAATAACAGCAAAAGTAGTCATAGTGATAATAGTAACAGCTTTACTAGTCATAGGAATACTAGTAATTGTAGAAGTTCAATTAACTCCTTTTTTCCGCTAGGTGGCTCTCACGCTTGTGCTTGTCTTGAGATCAGGTTGCAGGGGTTCAGATCTTTAGTGTGGTTGGATGTCCGGGTTCCCGAGTAAAATGCCCGTTTCCGTTTTGGAGGCGTCTTTGGCTGAGGTTCCTTCTCAAGCTAGTTCTATTAAAATTGATCGTTAAGAGAGCCCCTTTTCGCAGTATTCGGCTATTGAGGATCTTAGATGTTGTGCGCCAGAGATCACATGGCTTCCGGAACGTTGAGTATTTCAGCCCCCACATGCGCAGGAGGAGTGCAGACGCATCCACAAAGCCTTGGAGAAGAAAACCTTGCGGCCTTCAGTGATGATGTGCCCTTTGCAGGACGGTAGGGCTAAATCTTGGAATTCCTCAAGCTGAGAGCGCCCTAATAGGCCCCTCAGGAGAGCAAGGTCGCTATTGTAAGAACCCCAAAAGGAACCATAGTTTTGAGAAGCCCCACTGCTGCTCAAAAAAACAGCAAGCGACATACAGCAGGACAACCTCAAAGTGCCCGAAACACGCAGGAGGATCGTGGACAGCATACTTGAGGGACTCATCATGTCAGGTACATGATGCGGTACATGCTATGAAGCACTTCCACCCTTAGCCGCCTAGACCCAAACCCTAAACGCGAAACCGTGTAGGACCTTCCCTTGGCAGGACAGAGTTTTCATCCACTACAACGATGGCGATGCCTGGGAGCGCTGTTGCATCCAGGAGCCGCGAGAGACTTAGGGGTTTAGGGTTGCGACATGTGGGCGTCATTAGGATTTTGAGTTTTGGAGTTGAGGGTTACCTGGGTTGTTTTAGCCTTTACTGGTTGTCCTTCCCAGGCCCTTTGCAAGTACCATGACACTGCTTTGCAGTTTGTAGTAGTAAGCGTATGCGCCATAATCCAAACTGCTTAAAGGGGGCTACCTATTTATATATATATATGATGGGAGCTCATATGCAACTATGCTTCGCTACAGGGAACCTCAAGGGGCAGTTTCGATGCAGGAGAACATCTTCAATGGAGAGCTTTCCGCGAAGTGCGAGGCCTTGTACGAGAAACCAGCTACTCGGCTTCTCCTAGTCCTTTTACAATTATGGTCTATGGTACTTCAAATGGACCTCAGATGATATTGGTAATTATTTAGGCCCCTGTAGTAGCCGTTTGTCTCACATAAGGGTAGAGTAGAGCTGTTTGCTTAACAGTTGATGGTCGTTTCCCTAAATATGGGGACCCCAATGTAGACCCCAACATACTAGAATCCCTATTATAGGGACCCCCCCCAAAAAAAGGTACCCCCAATTTCAGGAAACTCCTGAAGATTCTCCATGCAGTACTCAAATGGAGAAGAAGGCATGCTGTTTATTTGCAGCGGAGCAGGGCTAGCAGGTATTGTTGTGAGAGAGAGCGAGAGTATATTGCGGTTATATTAGAAAAATGGAAAATAAAAATGGAAACTACTATTTAGGGTTTAGGGTTTAGGATGAATATTGGGGTTCTATTGGGATACTGGAAAATAAAATGGAAATTACTACTTAGGGGTTAGGATTCAGGGTTTAGAGCGGACTCACGTCTCTTTGTGGATGTTTCTTGATTGTCTTGTAAAACACAACACTAGGCCCAGGCAGAACCAGCCCTTTAACGCACATGCATTTGGACGCAGGGATGTCCTTTTCTAGTCTCTTTTCGCAACATTACAGCCCCAAAGGAGCCAAGTTAGAAGCACAATGCTACCAAGGATTGGGGTTTGGGGTTTAGGGTTTAGGGTTTTAGGGTTTAGGGGTTTAGGGTTTTGGGGGTTAGGGTTTTAGGATAGTCTTATGTTAGCTAGTCTGTGGTGATATTGGCCGTCGGTGGCTGTGGTTCTAAGCCCCTGCAGCGCCAAGCATTCGATTGTGATAGCACTGGCACAAAACCAGTTAAGCAGACACTTGCAGCCTGACGCAGGGACGTAATAAGCATGAACCTTAACTGGGTTGCTGTCAAGGAACTTAATTTAAGTTACCATAATGGGTATATATAGTAAATAATAGGGTTTCCCCAATATAGTAACTTAATTTAAGTTCCTTAACAGCAACCCAGTTAATTGAGGGCCCGGGCATTGTGAGAGATTGCGCGGCGACCGGTGTTGTCTCCGGATCATCTTACCTCAGGAGGCAGCTAAGCTCCAGCCCAGCACATCCTGGCTGGACTCCCTGATGACTCCTGAGAATTTTGTTTATGTCACATGCACTCCCCAAGTTAGCCGCTCTGTTCCACATCCTTTTCCCCAAACAACCCCTAGTCCCCATGGAACTAGCACAAAATCCTAAGCTGAAGAGGCCCCTCGGGCAGTAAGCAGAAGACCGAAACCCTAAACCCTAAAAGCAAACCAAACACTCAGTCCTGTAATAGCCTTAAGCCTGAAGCCGAAAAAAGCTGAACTTTCTAGTGGTTAGCAGGAATGGGGAATTGGATATCGATATTTGCCGCTACAGGATCCCTAATGACATAGTAGTTTTTCATTTTCTTGGCCATTCAATTCCCTATTGACCCTAAACCCTTTGCATTCTTTCCTTCCCTTCTACCCATGCGTATGTCTCCCTAGATATCTCTGTACGCACACAGTTTTCATCACATATTCCATGTTGATTCTGCACTTGGAGACACAGGGTAACTAATCACGATCCACGAACATAATCGTAAGAGTACAACGCAGAACCCAGATAATAGCATAATGGGAATGTTTGGTAACCCCAGCACACCCCAAGATATGATACTCGCTAGAACCCAAGTTGATTCTCAATTGTTGTCCTGTAATAGATATAGCAAAGTAATCAATGCACTTTTTGCCCCAGAATAAGTCTGCCAACTCCTATATACCTCTATATAACTGGCGGGAATCGGATAGAACTAATCTTAAACCTGAACCGTGTACACACGACTTATACACAGACCCGTGAGAGGATCTAGCAAGTATATTCTCTCGGTTGTCGGGTTATAAACCCAAAGGCCTGAACCATATCTAATCCCTTGGCATTGGCTATTATCGCTTGATTGGCAAAATCCTGTATGACCTTAGTATACCATAACACCATAATTCCCAGGGTTTAGGATACTTGGGGTGATGCAGGATTTTTGGTATCCACCGTATACACCCTAAACCCTAAAACCCTAAACCCCTAGATCCTGAAACCCTACAATCCTACAACCCTAAAGCCGTGAACCCTACAACCCTAAATCCTAAAACCCTAAAACTTATCAGCGGCTTAACTTAAACACTAAACCCTAAAACCAGCAACCTCGTTACCCTGGGCTAGTTGGCTTGATCATCGTTGCCGAGCCAGGCAGATGAAAAGTCCGAAGGGTTGTAAACAAAAAACCCTAAACCAAGACCCCCTAAGGGATCCAAAAAATGGAACCCCTTAGTAATCCCCTAGGTTCCCCAATGTAGTAATGGAGCCACTTTGGGGGGGTTCCATTTTTTGGATGCTTCAGGGAGTCTGGGAAACCCCAAACCTTCTCAGTGGCTTAGAGTTAACTTGACGTAAACCTCCAAGCAGGTTCCCGTCATGGAGCCACCCGAGCCTCCAGACCCGATCCCGGTCACCAAGACGGAGAAGATCATGGCTGCTGTAAAGCAGCTGGGCGGAGTTTGGGGTTTAGGCTTTTAGGGTTTAGAGTTCAGGGGTTCAATATTTAGGGTTTAGGGTCTACAGGGTTTAGGGGGTTTAGGGTTAAGGGGAAGGTGCATGGATTGATTTTTGGACTCTAGGATTTTGATTCTAGGGCTTCAGGATTTTTATGGGGCTGTCGGCTTTTGGGCTTGCGGCCTGAGGTGTATGAATTTTGGACACGGGGATGTGCTGTAAGGGGTTCTACAAAAGAGAATCTTTTCGGAAGTGCTCAGAACGCTTCCGGGGCGTGACTTTAGTCTGACTTGTAATCAGGATATGCAAGTACTGAGTGCTGAAGAATCATGTGGGCATGGTGATTGGAAGGACCATGCCGATTCTAACTGTGATTCTTGAGAACATTCTTCCGACTTCTTGAGAGCGTTTTTTTGATGGCATGATCCCTGAAACCGTCTGAACCTTATTATCCCCGCCTGTCGAGTGTTTGCAAAGCAGATGGCGTGGCTCCAGGCTTTCAGAGTTGATGTTAATCCAGAACACGAAAGGGGTTACCGTTTGGGTACCTCCCCCCCACCTACCAGCAGTTGGATAACATGTGTGTTTTAGCTGTAGGGCCCTTACTGCTTAATACTGCCCTGGAGAAATCATCAGCATCACTGGGCGAGGTAGCACCCAAGCTGTGGTGATCACGGTGCAAATCACAACCCCTAGGGTTTAAGGTTTAGGGCTTAGGGCTTAGGGCTTCTCACGAGCCTTGTCAGGGTTAGGGTTTAGAGGCGCATTGCATCGCAGCTTCTTGCACACTGTACGCGTTTTGAGAAACATTTCAGGACAGCACGCTTTGCGGCTGCGGTTGTTGCTGAGGCTTACTTACTCTGATTCCTCACAAAGCTGCCCTTTTTGCAAATGTTCACAGTCCTCATCAGGAAAGACTTTGTTTGGGTAGCTTGCTTCAACTGCTAGAGGATCTGGAACAGAATTGGCCGCCTTGTATATGTCCTGTGCCACAATCAGGTTGGTAGCCAGGATCTCAAAGGAGATTGCCCTGGAATCTTGCCTCAAATTAGAGACGGTGACGGGTTCGCTAGGCAGCTTCTACAATTCAAGGCTATTTGGTGGCTGTCTCAAGCAAAAAGTAAGGGTACCCTGATTCTATAAAACCCTAAACACAAAAAAACCTTCCGAAAGATCACAACATGTTTGGAGACCTGCATCTGATGCAGTTGCAGTTGTGTAACGAAAGGGCCCCCGCGCTTACAATAGTTTTTTGGTATATTATGCGGTTGAGGATTGTTAGGGTTACAGTAGCAGTAGCGGGTTTCGGGTTATGTTGTAGAAGATTGCTGGGGACCGTGGTGTCTCTGGGGGTATATTATGCTATGGCGGAGTGTTAGGGTTACATTAGATTTTTGGGTATATTGTAGCATGTAGGATTGTTAGGGTTAGATTGTGTATTCTATTGTGGAGGATTGTTAAGGTTTCAACCGGCTTCTGGGTATGTTATACTATGGAGGCTTATGAGGGTTACATTAGGGAGTTCTGGCTACACTATACAATGGAGGATTGTTGGGGGAAAGTTTTGGGATGTTTCAGTCTTCTATATTCTCTTTTTCCCTCCGGGCCTTTTGTGAAATCACTGATACTGCGTAGTCGGGATAGGGTCTAGGGTGGGCTAGAGCCTAAGATCTAAACTAGGGAAAGGGATCAGAAGATTATCCTAAATGTGGGCGTGCTCTTGTGACAACCGTGATAGCCTACTCAAAGGTCCTAGGCAAGAGAAATTGCCTTGGATCTCACAGAGCCACCTAATTGAGAGCCAGACCCCTATCAAATCTGGACCCAACAATCTAAGACTGCTACAAGATTTAGATAGCCGCATGAGATTATTTGCATGACGCCCGCTTCCCTAAATCTACATAGATCCCTTGAGGTAACCTCTGTGCTTACAAGACACACACACACACAGAAAACTAGGAGTTGGCTGCCCGGATGGGCTTCGGCGGCTGCGGCAAGGGCTGCCTCTCGGGCGCTCATACCTAGTTGGCTTCGGATTGCATTCTAATTTTGGTCTTTGGTGAGTGCATATAAGGGATTCCTTTGTTGAACATTGGTCAGTGTTTTTTTGAGTCTCCAGGATACAGCTTTTCACTCAGATTTTGTGCGCGATGCTGTCGGAATCCTGTCCAGGGAGCTGGGATTCCGTTTCAGCATGGTAGCAATAAAAGGACTATACTGGGAAACCCAAGGGTACCCCAACAATATAGCAGGAATATAATGGAATATAAGGACTTTGGTAGGTATATTCCTATTATATTTCTACTATGTTCTTGGGGTTCCCTGTTTGGGGTTCCCAGTAAAGTCCCTTAAAGCAAGTGGTCCAGGGCTCTTGTAGCTTTTTGGTCCAGGGCCACGCTTTTACTGGCACGAAAATCAGGGTGCTTAATGAGGTC